CTGGAGCAGGAGGAGAGTAGACGTGTCCTTCTGAGCTCCGAGGAGACGCCGATCTGGACACCAACTTCAGGGTCGTGAAGGAAGGTGTGGAAAATTACATTTATCTGAATATAACTATATACATAACAGTAAATAATAACAAAGATAATTATTATTTATCAGTTACATAGACAAGTAGGACACCAAAAATGTCCCACTTCGACACCTGTAATAACCACAAGTTACTCTAGACATATTATTATTATTAACAGCGGCAGTCTCCCACCCAGGCGGGGCGACCCAGAAAGAAAAACAAAAGTTTCTCTTTTTAACTTTAGTAATATATACAGCAGAAGGGGTCACAGTAGAAGGGGTCACAGTAGAAGGGGTCACAGTAGAAGGGGTCACAGTAGAAGGGGTCACAGTAAGAAGGGTCACAGTTAGAAGGGTCACAGTAGAAGGGTCACAGTAGAAGGTCACAGTATAAGGGTCACAGTAGAAGGGGTCCAGTAGAAGGGGTCACAGTAGAAGGGCTCACAGCAGAAGGGGACACAGTAGAAGGGGTCACAGTAGAAGGGGTCACAGTAGAAGGGGTCACAGTAGAAGGGGTCACAGTAGAAGGGGTCACAGTAGAAGGGGTCACAGTAGAAGGGGTCACAGTAGAAGGGGTCACAGTAGAAGGGCTCACAGCAGAAGGGCTCACAGCAGAAGGGGTCACAGTAGAAGGGGTCACAGTAGAAGGGGTCACAGTAGAAGGGGTCACAGTAGAAGGGGTCACAGTAGAAGGGGTCACAGTAGAAGGGGTCACAGCAGAAGGGCTCACAGCAGAAGGGCTCACAGCAGAAGGGGTCACAGTAGAAGGGGTCACAGTAGAAGGGGTCACAGCAGAAGGGGTCACAGCAGAAGGGGTCACAGTAGAAGGGGTCACAGCAGAAGGGGTCACAGCAGAAGGGGTCACAGCAGAAGGGGTCACAGCAGAAGGGGTCACTACCCCCTTGCTCCCGGCATTTTAGTCGCCACTTACAACACCCATGGAGACCCCTCAAGGAAGGTTCCTTGATGTTGGTGAGGGGCTCTTGATTTAGGGAATTGGATCTGTGCTCCAGTTCCCTGAATTAATCCTGAATGCCTTCCACATCCCCCCCTCCAGGAGCTGTATAATCCTCCGGGTTTAGCGCTTCCCCCTTGATTATAATAATAATAATAATTCACCATGGAGATAAGAGGAAATAAACAAGAACAAGAACTATTAAGAAAATAGCAGAAACCCCAGAGGGGTGTGTATATATATATATACTTGTACATGTGTAGTGTGACCTAAGTGTAAGTAGAAGTAGCAAGACGTACCTGAAACCTTGCATGTGTATCAGACAAAAAATGGACATATTAATTATATGAAATATACATCAGCAATACTGGTAAATATATAAATTTATGAACTGTATATTAAAAATTATATATAAACTCACATATAAATAACAGAAGGAAAATATATCTTAATATGACTCACTAATTTGACTGAATATTAATGTATTATTATTATTATTATTATTATTATTATTATTATTATTATTATTATTATTATGTATTATTATTATTATGTATTATTATTATTATGTATTATTATTATTATTATTATTATTATTATTATTATTATTATTATGTATTATTATTATTATGTATTATTATTATTATGTATTATTATTATTATTATTATTATTATTATTATTATGTATTATTATTATTATGTATTATTATTATTGTTATTATGTATTATTATTATTATGTATTATTATTATTATTATGTATTATTATGTATTATTATTATTATTATTATTGTTATTATGTATTATTATTATTATTATTATGTATTATTATTATTATGTATTATTATTATTATTATTATTATTATTATTATTATAATAATGTATTATTATTATTATTATTATTATTAATGTATTATACCCAGAAAAATCTCACTAACTAAATTTATGATAATACTGGCCAGAATTACACACAAATCTAGAGAGCTTATCTGAGGTTCCTGGAGTTGTCTTGTCCAGTCGTCTGATATATCAAGTTATGCAGGAATGCATGTCCAACAATTTCGCCTCCTATTTGAGAGGTGTCAACACAATTTTAACCTCTACAGCACGAAAAATTTCCTTCCCATTACACTAACGTTTGTGCAAAATTCAGAACCAAGATGGCGAGTGTCGTCTGTGCCGGCGCACCTTCTTCCCATTATTTATAATATAATTTTTATTAAATACAGTATGGCTATCTAATTATATATAACTATTGTATTTCTGGAAAATGAATGCAGTATTTTCCACAGAAGGCTTCAGGGTCGTGAAGGAAGGCTTCAGGGTCGTGAAGGAAGGCTTCAGGGTCGTGAAGGAACGCTTCAGGGTTGTGAAGGAAGGCTTCAGGGTCGTGAAGGAAGGCTTCAGGGTTGTGAAGGAAGGCTTCAGGGTCGTGAAGGAAGGCTTCAGGGTCGTGAAGGAAGGCTTCAGGGTCGTGAAGGAAGGCTTGAAGACCATGAATGAAGACTTAGAGAACGTGAATGCAGACTTCAAACCTATGAATGCAGACGTCAGAACCATGAATGCAGACTTCAGAACCATGAATGCAGACTCCAGGACCATGAATGCAGACTTCAGAACCATGAATGCAGACTCCAGGACCATGAATGCAGACTTCAGAACCATGAATGCAGACTTCAGGACCATGAATGCAGACTCCAGGACCATGAATGCAGACTCCAGAACCATGAATGCAGACTTCAGAACCATGAATGCAGACTTCAGGACCATGAATGCAGACTCCAGGACCATGAATGCAGACTTCAGGACCATGAATGCAGACTTCAGGACCATGAATGCAGACCTGCCACGGACATCGTCAGATGAAAGCAGTTCTTTCGACAAGTCAACTTCTGTCAGCTCAGACAACAGCTTCTCAGATTATAGTAAGTTAACTTTATATTTTTTACTCGTTTAACGACTTTAAGGGCTCTTGTTCCGAGGAAGTGGAGCTGATCTCCCCTTCCTCGGATCAAGCCTGATCCACTCCCGGGATTAGCGCACATTTTAAATATAACCATTTAGGTTATAATTCTGTATTAAAGTATAATTCTGTATATATATATATATATATATATATATATATATATATATATATATATATATATATATATATATATATATATATATATATATATATATATATGGAGAGGCTCTAAACCCGTTGGGTTTATTACGTAACTTTAGTTTGGAGAAGCAGTGATGTCTGATCCGAGGAAAGAGAAGGATGGCTCATTCTGGACCCCTTGTGGGCTTAGCGCTTCGTGTGGATTGATGTAATAATAACAATAATAATACCTCCCCCCTCCTCCCCCTCTCCCCCACCTCCCCCCTCTCCCCCCTCTCCCCCACATCCCCCTCCCCCCACCTCCCACCACCTCCCCCCCTCCCCCTCCCCCCCACCTCCTTCAATAAACCGTTGCCAGATATTCAAAAATTTACGGAGAGAAATAATTTGAAACAGCCTATTAAATATAAACATCCCCAAATTGTATAGGCCTTTTTATGTTGTTGTTTTAGGTTTGAAGCCTATCTACCAGACGAGGGTCGCTTTAGGCTGTGTATGTCGTGTGTATATCACAAGTCAGCTATACTTGAATGCTTGGGTATACACTGAGATATATACACCTCTCAGTGTATATACACTCAGATATATACACCTCTCAGTGTATATACACTCAGATATATACACCTCTCAGTGTATATACACTCAGATATATACACCTCTCAGTGTATATACACTCAGATATATACACCCTCTCAGTGTATATACACTCAGATATATACACCTCTCAGTGTATATACACTCAGATATATACACCTCTCAGTGTATATACACTCAGATATATACACCTCTCAGTGTATATACACAGATATACACCTCTCAGTGTATATACACTGAGATATATACACCTCTCAGTGTTATATACACTGAGATATACACCTCTCAGTGTATATACACAGATATACACCTCTCAGTGTATATACACATATACACCTCTCAGTGTATATACACTGAGATATACACCTCTCAGTGTATATACACTGAGATATACACCTCTCAGTGTATATACACTGAGATATACACCTCTCAGTGTATATACACTGAGATATACACCTCTCAGTGTATATACACTGAGATATACACCTCTCAGTGTATATACACTGAGATATACACCTCTCAGTGTATATACACATATACACCTCTCAGTGTATATACACTGAGATATACACCTCTCAGTGTATATACACTCAGATATATACACCTCAATGTATATACACAGATATACACATCTCAGTGTATATACACATATACACCTCTCAGTGTATATACACTGAGATATACACCTCTCAGTGTATATACACTGAGATATACACCTCTCAGTGTATATACACTGAGATATACACCTCTCAGTGTATATACACTGAGATATACACCTCTCAGTGTATATACACTGAGATATACACCTCTCAGTGTATATACACTGAGATATACACCTCTCAGTGTATATACACTGAGATATACACCTCTCAGTGTATATACACTGAGATATACACCTCTCAGTGTATATACACTGAGATATACACCTCTCAGTGTATATACACAGATATACACCTCAGTATATATACACTATACATGCTCCAAGACATTCTGGGTAACAATAATAATAATTCTAATAATAAAAATAATAATAATTATTATTATAATAATAAAATATTGTGGGCTGTTGTATATAGTTTTACTCTTTAATATTTGTGCTGGTGAAGGGCTCTTGATCCAAGGGCTAGGACTTCCTTTCCTGGTATCAAACCTTGATTACCCGGGTAGAGGAATAGTCCAGGTTATTGTTAAGTTCAAACTTTGTAACTTAAAGTTCTCGTGGTCGCCGCCTCCGCCGCCGCCGCCGCCGCCGCCGGCTACCGTTACGCTTCACTGATCTTCAATATTGTTGCTAGGCTTATGTAACTTATGTACGATAACTGTAGGTCAGCCACGATGACTGCAGGTCAGTTACGATGACTGTAGGCCAGTCACGATGACTGTAGGTCAGTTACGATGACTGTAGGTCAGTCACGATGACTGTAGGTCAGCCACGATGACTGTAGGTCAGCCACGATGACTGTAGGTCAGTCGCGATGACTGTAGGTCAGCCACGATGACTGTAGGTCAGCCACGATGACTGTAGGTCAGTTACAATGACTGTAGGCCAGTCACGATGATTGTAGGTCAGCCACGATGACTGTAGGTCAGTCACGATGACTGTAGGTCAGCCACGATGACTGTAGGTCAGCCACGATGACTGTAGGTCAGCCACGATGACTGTAGGTCAGTTACAATGACTGTAGGCCAGTCACGATGACTGTAGGTCAGCCACGATGACTGTAGGTCAGTCACGATGACTGTAGGTCAGCCACGATGACTGTAGGTCAGTTACGATGACTGTAGGTCAGCCACGATGACTGTAGGTCAGCCACGATGACTGTAGGTCAGCCACGATGACTGTAGGTCAGCCACGATGACTGTAGGTCAGACACGATGACTGTAGGTCAGTTACGATGACTGTAGGCCAGTCACGATGACTGTAGGTCAGCCACGATAACTGTAGGTCAGCCACGATGACTGTAGGTCAGTTACGATGACTGTAGGCCAGTCACGATGTCTGTAGGTCAGCCACGATGACTAGGTCAGCCACGATGACTGTAGGTCAGCCACGATGACTGTAGGTCAGTTACGATGACTGTAGGCCAGTCACGATGACTGTAGGTCAGTCACGATGACTGTAGGTCAGTTACGATGACTGTAGGTCAGTTACGATGACTGTAGGTCAGTCACGATGACTGTAGGTCAGTCACGATGACTGTAGGTCAGTCACGATGACTGTAGGTCAGTTACGATGACTGTAGGTCAGTCACGATGACTGTAGGTCAGCCACGATGACTGTAGGTCAGCCATGATGACTGTAGGTCAGTCACGATGACTGTAGGTCAGCCACGATGACTGTAGGTCAGCCACGATGACTGTAGGTCAGCCACGATGACTGTAGGTCAGCCACGATGACTGTAGGTCAGCCACGATGACTGTAGGTCAGCCATGATGACTGTAGGTCAGTCACGATGACTGTAGGTCAGCCACGATGACTGTAGGTCAGCCAGGATGACTGTAGGTCAGCCACGATGACTGTAGGTCAGCCATGATGACTGTAGGTCAGCCACGATGACTGTAGGTCAGCCACGATGACTAGGTCAGTCACGATGACTGTAGGTCAGCCACGATGACTGTAGGTCAGCCACGATGACTGTAGGTCAGCCACGATGACTGTAGGTCAGCCACGATGACTGTAGGTCAGCCATGATGACTATAGGTCAGTCACGATGACTGTAGGTCAGCCACGATGACTGTAGGTCAGCCACGATGACTGTAGGTCAGCCACGATGACTGTAGGTCTGCCACGATGACTGTAGGTCAGCACGATGACTGTAGGCCAGCCACGATGACTGTAGGACTGCCACGACGACTGTAGGTCAGCCACGATGACTGTAGGTCAGTCACGATGACTGTAGGTCAGCCACGATGACTGTAGGTCTGCCACGATGACTGTAGGTCAGCCACGATGACTGTAGGTCAGCCACGATGACTGTAGGTCAGCCACGATGACTGTAGGTCAGCCACGATGACTGTAGGTCAGCCACGATGACTGTAGGTCAGTCAGACTGAGCACACGATGACTGTAGGACAGCCACGATGACTGTAGGTACAGCCACGATGACTGTAGGTCAGCCACGATGACTGTAGGTCAGCCACGATAACTGTAGGTCAGCCACGATGAACTATATAGTAATACTGACTTAACCAGTATGATAATACATATAACTGTAGTACATATGACATGTAGGTATGCACGTATGATGAGGCGCCACGTGATGTAGGTCGCACGATGACTGTAGGTCAGCACATGTTGTAGGTAGCAGATATTTCTACTCATACTGTAGTCAGAATATATACACTGTTGATGATATTATTGTTGTGCAGCAGGATGTTTGGTTGAGCACGTGATGTTATATCACATCTGATACTGTATATTACACTGTGATGTATAGTTGTACATACGATGTACATGGATATACACTATGTTATACAGCAGATATACTACACTAGCCTTGTACGTCAGTGACTACACTAGCTGTATACAGTACTACACTACCTTGTACAGCAGTACTACACTAGCCTTGTACAGTAGTACCTACACTAGCCTTGTACAGCAGTACCTACACTAGCCTTGTACAGCAGTGCCTACACTAGCCTTGTACAGCAGTAGCTACACTAGCCTTGTACAGCAGTAGCTACACTAGCCTTGTACAGCAGTACCTACACTAGCCTTGTACAGCAGTACCTACACTAGCCTTGTACAGCAGTAGCTACATTAGCCTTGTACAGCAGTACCTACACTAGCCTTGTACAGCAGTACCTACACTAGCCTTGTACAGCAGTAGCTACACTAGCCTTGTACAGCAGTACCTACACTAGCCTTGTACAGCAGTACCTACACTAGCCTTGTACAGCAGTAGCTACACTAGCCTTGTACAGCAGTACCTACACTAGCCTTGTACAGCAGTACCTACACTAGCCTTGTACAGCAGTAGCTACACTAGCCTTGTACAGCAGTACCTACACTAGCCTTGTACAGCAGTAGCTACACTAGCCTTGTACAGCAGTGCCTACACTAGCCTTGTACAGCAGTAGCTACACTAGCCTTGTACAGCAGTACCTACACTAGCCTTGTACAGCAGTACCTACACTAGCCTTGTACAGCAGTAGCTACACTAGCCTTGTACAGCAGTACCTACACTAGCCTTGTACAGCAGTACCTACACTAGCCTTGTACAGCAGTACCTACACTAGCCTTGTACAGCAGTACCTACACTAGCCTTGTACAGCAGTACCTACACTAGCCTTGTACAGCAGTAGCTACACTAGCCTTGTACAGCAGTACCTACACTAGCCTTGTACAGCAGTACCTACACTAGCCTTGTACAGCAGTAGCTACACTAGCCTTGTACAGCAGTACCTACACTAGCCTTGTACAGCAGTACCTACACTAGCCTTGTACAGCAGTACCTACACTAGCCTTGTACAGCAGTACCTACACTAGCCTTGTACAGCAGTACCTACACTAGCCTTGTACAGCAGTACTACACTAGCCTTGTACAGCAGTACCTACACTAGCCTTGTACAGCAGTACGCTACACTAGCCTTGTACAGCAGTAGCTACACTAGCCTTGTACAGCAGTACCTACACTAGCCTTGTACAGCAGTAGCTACACTAGCCTTGTACAGCAGTAGCTACACTAGCCTTGTACAGCAGTACCTACACTAGCCTTGTACAGCAGTACTACACTAGCCTTGTACAGCAGTAGCTACACTAGCCTTGTACAGCAGTAGCTACACTAGCCTTGTACAGCAGTACCTACACTAGCCTTGTACAGCAGTAGCTACACTAGCCTTGTACAGCAGTAGCTACACTAGCCTTGTACAGCAGTACCTACACTAGCCTTGTACAGCAGTACTACACTAGCCTGTACAGCAGTACCTACACTAGCCTTGTACAGCAGTACCTACACTAGCCTTGTACAGCAGTACCTACACTAGCCTTGTACAGTAGTACCTACACTAGCCTTGTACAGCAGTACCTACACTAGCCTTGTACAGCAGTACCTACACTAGCCTTGTACAGCAGTACCTACACTAGCCTTGTACAGCAGTAGCTACACTAGCCTTGTACAGCAGTACCTACACTAGCCTTGTACAGCAGTACTACACTAGCCTTGTACAGCAGTAGCTACACTAGCCTTGTACAGCAGTACCTACACTAGCCTTGTACAGCAGTACCTACACTAGCCTTGTACAGCAGTACCTACACTAGCCTTGTACAGCAGTACCTACACTAGCCTTGTACAGCAGTACCTACACTAGCCTTGTACAGCAGTACCTACACTAGCCTTGTACAGCAGTACCTACACTAGCCTTGTACAGCAGTACCTACACTAGCCTTGTACAGCAGTACCTACACTAGCCTTGTACAGCAGTACCTACACTAGCCTTGTACAGTAGTACCTACACTAGCCTTGTACAGCAGTACCTACACTAGCCTCGTACCAGTACTACACTAGCCTTGTAGCATACCTACACTAGCCTTGTACAGTAGTACCTACACTAGCCTCGTACAGCAGTACCTACACTAGCCTCGTACAGCAGTACCTACACTAGCCTTGTACAGTAGTACCTACACTAGCCTTGTATAGCAGTACCTACACTAGCCTCGTACAGCAGTACCTACACTAGCCTTGTACAGCAGTACCTACACTAGCCTTGTACAGCAGTACCTACACTAACCTCGTACAGCAGTACCTACACTAGCCTTGTACAGCAGTACCTACACTAGCCTTGTACAGCAGTACCTACACTAACCTCGTACAGCAGTACCTACACTAGCCTCGTACAGTACTACCTACATAAGCCTCACACAGTACAATATCAATTATTATACCAGTAATTATTTTGTAGTAACATCTGCCTGCATAATATGTCACATATTCTGATGAGTATATCTGCCATGATATGTCTGTACTCACACCAACACTGCCTTTGTTATGTATATATATATATATATATATATATATATATATATATATATATATATATATATATATATATATATATATATATATATATAATATATATATATATATATATATATATATATATGCATGCAAACGGCCTGTTTGTTAAAAATATACTTTATTTTGATGCCAATAGGCTCATGTTTGGACTTTTCAAGTATTTCTGGCTGTTTTCTGGCTACATTCAGACTTAATGGTGTAGCGTTAGGCTTTAAACCCCATTAAGCGTCGTTTAGTAGATAGACTTTAAACTCCCCCAGCCAACTTGACAACCAACTAACCGTGTCTGACCCTTGATCTGCAGATGGGAATGATGAGATGTACGAAGACCTTAGGAATCCTGATGTTAGCAGTGAGAGACGTAGAGACAGCTGTTCCTCCTGCTGTAGTCACTGCTCTTCAGTGTATTGCAGTGATAACTCGACGTCTGCTGCCCTTGATAACTCTACGTCTGCTGCCCCTGATAACTCTACGTCTGCTGTCCCTGATAACTCGACGTCTGCTGCCCTTGATAACTCTACGTCTGCTGCCCCTGATAACTCTACGTCTGCTGCCCTTGATAACTGTACGTCTGCTGCCCCTGATAACTCTACGTCTGCTGCCCCTGATAACTCGACGTCTGCTGCCCTTGATAACTCTACGTCTGCTGCCCCTGATAACTCTACGTCTGCTGCCCCTGATAACTCCACGTCTGCTGCCCCTGATAACTCTACGTCTGCTGCCCCTGATAACGCTACGTCTGCTGCCCCTGATAACGCTACGTCTGCTGCCCCTGATAACGCTACGTCTGCTGCCTCTCCTGCTGACCCTAACGTCTCACCATCCACCACTGAAGGTATTTATGTACATTACTTAGTTACCATTTGCATATACCAGTAAGTTGTCTTATGTAGTGATATCTTTTAAATACCATTAAAAAACCACGTTTAATGTTAGACATGGTTTTTTGATGGAGTTAGAGCTAACTTTACGGTAATGGGGTTATATATTTAGCACATGGTAATGTGTGTATTAATTTCTAGATCATATTTACCCTAGACTAGTGTATACAAAACGTGTGTGTGTCTTTGTGTGTCATTTAGGTAATTAAAATATAGTCAGTGATATTTTTTTTTACGGTTTGGTCTATTAATTGTAAGTTGTTTATAGTTTTTTACCATTATCTGCCCTCGTTTATTGAGCAAGGTTTTACACATCTAGATGTGTATATCTGTGTATGTCGTGAGTTTCAATTTATATTTCAGATACGCAGCTTTAATGACCTTTGTGTAGTCCACGGGTTTTGTATTAAATAAAGCGACTATATCAGGTTGATTGCTGAGTATATTAATGCTGATTTGTACTTGTTGCCGGCAGACAGACGAGGGAGTAACGAAGGAACAGGGAACGTACCAGCTTGTGGCTGTCAGGGTTGTTACTGTGTGTCAAGGCTGCAACATTCGTTCCCCCTGGCAGGGTCATCCCTGGCAGGGACATCCCTGGCAGGAACATCCCTGGCAGGGTCATCCCAGACAGGGACATCCCTGGCAGGGTCATCCCAACCAGTAGGACGTCACACATCAGTACAGGACACACACACAACCTCCTTCAGTATGATCAACCTACTTCAAGCAACACACGAGCCAGCTACTCCAGCAGATGGGAAGTCTTGCAATTGCAGTCAGTGTTGCAACATTTTTGCTAGTGGGCCAAGTCCTCTCCCATCTCCCACTGCACCTAACCACTGGAGTGAAACACACACCCCTAACACCACAGAACAGAACTCTGCATGCTGCAACAATGCTGGCTGCCAAGGGCATGGAAAATATGCTAGCAACGAGCAGCGGCATATCTCTGTCCCACAGATGTTTAAGTGTGACGAGTGTGGTCAGATTTTTGTCCAAGAGATTAACTTCAAGAAACACGTTCTTCGCTTCACCAACCAAGAGACAGAGAATGGATTTAAGTGTTTCTACTGCAGACATGTGTTTCCTAGTGCATGTGGTCGCAAGCATCACCACATAATGCACAGACAACAACATAGAAATACTCCCGTCCTGGAGAATACATGTAGTGTGTGTAGCGTCAAGTTTAAAACCAGTAAAGGTCTTGAAGAACACCAGCGTCAGTTTATGACCAACACTGAGAGAAGGATCTTCAAATGTTTCTTCTGTAGTCATGCATTTGTTTCCGAAATAAGTCGTATTTCCCATGAAAAACTGCATGGTAAGCAGCGCCGGTTACCTTGCTGTTGCTGCGGTTCACACTTCCCCTCCAGATACTCACTTCGAGTTCATGGCATTAAGAAGAACATCCAGATGCCTCCTCGATGCCTTGATTGTGGGATCATATTTACCAAGAAAAGTTACCTTGATGATCATGTTGTCTCCGTCAGGAGGAACTTACCCTTCATTTGTTCTGTCTGTAACCACAAATTTCAAACTAAGTTAGCCTTAACCAGACATGGAAAATTACACAGCAGGAAGAGGGAATTTGAGTGTCCATCTTGTATGGCTCGTTTTGTGAGTGAGACTCGTCTGGTGGACCATATATATGGCGTCTCCAAGAAGGTCAATTCTGCCAAGAAAATTCGTTTAATTCTGGACCCTAACCAGGACAACATATCAGTTACCTAAGTCAATCATGGATTCTAACCATCAATTCCGTGTGTCAGCACAACATTATCAACTACCATCTTCAACTTGCTATCCATTACCGTCTTCCATCAGACGTGTTTGTTATAGATCACATAGAACATTGAACAATGTCTCGTCAATCTCAACTATCTCTCAAACAATCGCAGTTACTGCGAGACATTTAGGTATTTAAAGCTTTTGTTCCATTTGAAGTGAATTGCAGAGGATTGAGGGGATATAACCGCGAGGGTCGTCCATATAACCACGAGGGTCGTCCCTGAAGTTACTTCAACTTTATTCACATTCAATAATACCTTCCCATAGTTATTCTCTATATTTTTCTCCACAGTTTTCACAGTGAATATTGATGTCTTATCTATTGTATAACTGTTATTGTATTAGTCATTATTAATACATAATACAGCCCCTGACTGTATTTATACATCATTGTATAACTGTCCACAAGCAGATATTTGTAGCCTACATTTTTGCGGCTTAAAAAAGGAATTCTTTGATTTTTATTTTTTATTTTTTATTCTATATTTTAGTTAATAAAACCCAGAATAATGAGTATATTTAGTGCCTTAATTTAGGCCTATTTTTTGTAATTTTAAACATTATCACATAGGTGGAATGTGTTATGTTGATAGGCCTAAGATAGGCCTAGGTTACAAATATTGTGTTGAGATCAGTTAACTCACGGAATTTATGTTAATAGGCTTAAGGCCGAAATTCTTGATATATTGCTAGGCCTAAGGTTCATTATTGTCTTAAGTTGTTGCTTAAAGTAAGAAGGTTCTGACATTGGTCTCGGTTTTATGGTAGTGTCTGATCACTCTGACTGTGCCTGCAAACAGTCACAGAAACCAGTCACTTAAAACAGTCACATAAAACCAGTAATCCACATACATCCGTCACATAAACCAGTCCACATTAACCAGTCACATAATACAGTCGTCACAATAAACCGGTCACATAAACCAGTCACATTTAACCAGTCACATAACCAGTCACATAAACGGTCACATAAAACCGGTCACATAAACCAGTACTATAACCAGTCACATAAACCAGATCACATAAAAACAGTCACATAACCAAGTCACATAAACCAGTACTTTAACCGGACACATAAACCGGGCACATAAACCGGTCACATAAACCGGTCACATAAACCAGTCACATAAACCAGTCACATAAACCAGTCACATAAACCGGTCACATAAACCAGTCACATAAACCAGTCACATAAACCAGTCACATAAACCGGTCACATAAACCAGTCACATAACCTGTCAACATCTTAAACCGGTCCACATAAACCGGTCACCTAAAACCAGTCACATAAACCGGTCACATAAACCAGTCACATAAACCAGTCACATAAACCGGTCACATAAACCGGGTGTTACTGGTGGTCTGGTTTTATAAATTCTGTTTTTTAATAGGAAAATATTTTATGTTGATTCTTTATTGAAAATTATTTTTTATGTGAATGTTTATGATAGTGTTTATGGGGTGAATGGTTATAATTGTTTATGATAGTGTTTATGGTGAATGTTTATGATAGTGTTTATGGTGAATGTTTATGGGAATGTTATATTGTTTATGTTGAATGTTTATTAATGTTTATGGTGAATGTCTTATTATGTTTAGGTGTGAATGTTTTTAATGTTATGGTGAATGTTTATAATGTTGATGATTGTGTTTATGATGTATGTTTTAATGTATGGTGAATGTTTATAATGTTTATGGTGAATGTTTATAATGTTTATGGTGAATGTTTATAATGTTTATGGTGAATGTTTATAATGTTTATGATAGTGTTTATGATGAATGTTTATAATGTTTATGATAGTGTTTATGATGAATGTTTATAATGTTTATGGTGAATGTTTATAATGTTTATGATAATGTTTATGGTGAATGTTTATAATGTTTATGGTGAATGTTTATAATGTTTATGATAGTGTTTATGGTGAATGTTTATAATGTTTATGATAGTGTTTATGGTGAATGTTTTTAATGTTTATGGTGAATGTAATAATGTTTATGATAGTGTATTATGGTGAATGTTTATAATGTTTATGGTGAATGTTTATAATGTTTATGATAGTGTTTATGGTGAATGTTTATAATGTTTATGGTGAATGTTTATAATGTTTATGGTGAATGTTTTATAAGGTTTAATGGCAGTGGATATAACAATGGTTTATATTAACAACAGAAGGAATTTTTTCATTTATAATTAAATATTACAAAAATAAATTGTTTTTTTAATCTAATTTATAAACTTTTATTTTATTATTATTATTATTATTATTATTATTATTTTTATTATTATAATAAACAATAATTATAATAACAACAATAATAATTATTAATATTAATAATATTAAGAATAATCATAATAATAATAACTATTAATTACAATAATAATAATTAATAATAATAATAATAACAATAATAATATCAACAATATTAATAATGTCATGTGTATGAGATAATAATAACAATAATTATGACAACAATAATTAATAAATAATAATATAATTATAACTAACAATAATATATATTATCAATATTAATAATATAATAATAATAAACTATAATATTAATAATTATTTAATATAATATCAATTTTATGTAAGATCCATATAACTTTAATTATAATTCATAATGAATATTTTAATAATTGTAATAACATTAATAATTATAATTCATAATAATTATAACTATATTTTGTATTTTTTATTATTATTAGTTATATCACATTAATTAGTTGTTATGTATTTTTTATAACATTTTTTAGTATATTTTTTGTCACAATTAAGTATTTTTATTATAATAATATAACAGTTATTATGTTTTTAGATCTTTTATTATAATATTGTTCAAATTATATAAGAACAATATTTTATCTACGATTTTAGTACTACACTAGTATATTGAATATGAGTTTGTCTTTTCTATAATAATCTAGAATTTATTAGTAATTACATACTTTAAAATTTTTTCATTAATAATAATAATAATAACATTAATAATATAACAGATAATAATAATATAAAACATAATAATAATAATAACACATAAATAATTAATAATAATAATATAATAATATATAATAATAATATCAATAATTAATAACAATAATAATAATAATAACAAAATAATAATAATATAACTATAATTAACAATCATAATAATAATAATAACAATAATATATAATAATAACAATAATAATAATAATAACAATTATAATAATATAATATTAACAATATAATAATAATAATAACAATAATAATAACAATAATAATAAAACATAATAATAACTATAATAATCAATAATGATTATTAATAATAACATATAATAATTATAACAATAATTAATAAAAATATAATAACAATAATAATAATAATAACAATAATCAATTAACAATAATTAAAAATAAATAATATTAACAATTTTATATTAATAGTAATACCAATATAACAAATAATAATAATAATAATAATAATAATATTAACTATAATAACTAATGATAATAATATTATTAACAATAATAACAATAATAATAATAATAATAACAATAATAATAATAATAATAATATATCAATAATATATAATAATAATAATAACATTAATAATAATATATAAACAATATAAACATTAATAATAATAATAATAATAATAATAATAATAATAATAAAAAATAATAATAACACATAATAATTAATATTAATAATAATAATAATAATAATTATAATAATAACAACAATTATAATAATTATATTAAATAATTACAATAATTATAATAACACCAATAATATAATAATAATAATAATAATAATATTAATAACAATAATGATAATAATAATAATCAATAATAATAACAATAATAATAAATAACAATAATCAATAATAATAATAATAATTATTAATTTACAATTAATATGTAGAAAACACAATAATAATAAATAATAAAATAATAATAATAATAATAATCACAATGATAATAATAATAATATAATTAATAATATAATAAAATAATAATACTAATAATATAACAATAATAATAATAACAATAATAAATAATAATAATATTATAATAATAATAACAATATAATAATATTAATAATAATAACAAAATAATAATAACAATATCAATATTAATATTTACTAATAATAAATAATAATTATATTTAATAATTAATCAATAATAATAATAAACTATAATAATAATATACAATTATAATAATAATTACTAATAATAACAATAATAATACTTTATTAAGTATTAATAATAATATTATTAATACAATATATTAATTAATAATAATAATAACAATAATATATAATAACAAATCTTAATATTAATATCAATAATTATAATAATAATAACAATAATAATATTAATAACAATAATAATAATATTAAACAATAATAATAACCAATAATAATTAATAATCAACAATAATATATAATTATAATAATAACAATATATCAATAATAATAATAATAACAATAATATAAATAACAATCTTAATAATAATAATAATAATAACATAATAATATTAATAACACATAATAGATTAATAAACATTAATAAAAAAAATATCAATAATAATAAATATAATAATAACATAATAATAATAATCAACTATAATAACTAATAAATATACAATAATATAATAATAATAAATAATAATAAATAACATAACAAATCATAATAACATAATAATAATAATACAACAATATAATTAATAAATAACAAATAATAACAATTATAATAATAATAATAAACAATTAATAATATTATAATAACCAATAATAATATACTAACAATAATAATAATAATAATACATAATAACATAATAATAATAATAATAACAATAATAATAAACTATTAATAATAACAATAATAATAACAATAAAATAACTAATATTGTTAATACTAATAACAATATAATAATAACAATAATAATACACAATAATAATACCAATATAAATAATAATAACAATAATAATAATAACAAACATAATTTAAACAATAATAATAACAATAATAATAAAACTAATAATAATAATAACAATAATATAAAAAACTAATAATTAATAATAATTGATAAAAATAATAAAACAATAATAATAATAAAAATAATAATTACAATAATAATAATAATAATAATAAACAATTAATAATAAAATAATAATAACAATAATAACAATTATACATCAATGTAAATTATAATAAATAACAATAATAATAATAATAATAATAATAACAATAATAATAATAATAATAACAATAATAATAATTTAACATTAATAATAACAATAATAATAATAATAATAACCATAATATAATATAATAATAATATCAATAATAAATATAACAATAAAAACTCATTAATAATAATAATAATAATAATAATAATTAATAATAATAATAACACATAATAATAACAATTAATAATAATAATAATAATATGAATAATATTTACCTAATTATAATTAATAATAATAACAATAAAATCAATAATAATAATAATAAATAATTAATATAATAATAACAATAATAATATCAAAAATAATAAATAAACAACTCAAATAATAATAGTAATCAATATAATAACAATAATACTAGTAATAACAACAATAGATTATTAATAATAATTAATAATAATAATCATAATAATAATAACCAACAATAATAATAATAATAATAATAATATAAATAACAATAATAATAATAATAACAACAATTAAACATAAT